AGGAGGGAAAATAGAGGTTGGCTTAGGATATGGACAGCTGTTGGCCAAAGCTGAGGAGTGTTGACAAAATAGATGGATCCCAATGACTGCTTATTTCCCTGGGGATGAGATGAATCAAGCCTCCTTGGGCACTGGCTTTAGACTTTCTTGTTCAGCTGCCAGGGGCATGGAAGAAGGCCTACATCTGTGTTTCATTGGCTCCAGCACCTCTGTCTTGAAGACTTATGTGCCAACAACTGTCATCATTCTGGAGTCAGACGGCATTTGACTGGAAAGGCCCATGAGCTCTGTGCCTCTGAGACATTGCTAATATACCCCTGATGAGGCATATGGCACATCAAACACTGTACCACAGAGGAAGGAACCTGGAGAACATACAATGAGAAATGAAGCAGGGTATGAAGACCCAGGCTCAGGCACCTTGTGGGGGAGGGCTTAGGCCTCTGGTCTACAGGGGCAGCCCTATACCCAACCTTATCACACAAGCAAATGTCAGCAGTGACTGTCCTCATGGAGGGTCATCATCCTGTCCTGGGCAGGCTGTTGTTAGTGGTCTGTAACTAGAAAGCCAGTGCACCCTTTAGGTGGCAGACAGATAAGTGTCATAGGTCCATGTTACTTTAGAGACCCATGAAAAAGGTCTTAGTGTTTGTTTTCGTTTTTTTTTTTTTTTTTTTTTTTTTTTTTTTTTTTTTTTTTTTCAACAGGAGGAAAAAAAAGAGCTTACAGCTCAAAGTCATGTTTTGATGGAAAAATGGTGCCTTTTCTGGGTGGCTCTTTATTTTTCATGATGTTACTACAAGTACTTTTACAGTTAATTGTGTTTATGTGTCTGAGGTTGTCACAAGAGTTGGACTGGCATTAATTCTCCAAATTCTTAGAGCATATTTGAGAGTTTCCTGTGTCCTTCTTCATAGAAGGAACTGGCCTCACAGAGGTAAAGTGACTTGCCCGACCTCACACAGTAAGAGACATAGCGGGCCATGAACCTGGGTACTGGCATCTCCCTAGCTGTCTGCCTATCAATCCAGAAGGGGCAAGAGCAAGCAATACCCACAGGTACACAGGGAACAGAAGAGCTGCTTCCGGTCATGTGCTATGTTCTCCATTCAGGACTTTCAGCAACAGTCTCCTTGTCCCCATTCCCACACTGTCCTGACTGGATCACTTCTGGATGTGCAGTCCAGATCCTCCTCTGCTTCTCCCAGAGATTTGATCATTTCTTTCATAAATCATGTTCACCTTTAAATGAGTGGAGTGCTACCTGCACTTTGCATATGAATCACAACTGACCTAAGGGAAGTGGACAAAGATGAAGTAAAAGGTGCCTCTGGTGCCAGTGGGGAAAGGAACAACTCAGAGAGTAAGCATGCATGCATTTGAGCTGGGGAGAAGGCACAAGGAAAGAGACTGATGTTGCAGGACCCCAAGACTCAGGGAAGAGGCCAGAACATGGTGCAGGGCAGATGCGGACAGGAATCCAGGGCAAGACCAGGGTTTGTCCTGTTCTAGGTGTGCTGGGACATCTCAACTGGACACTGTGTGTTGATAACATATTCCTGGTGGAAAGCACACATTTTCCCTGAAGTTATGGGACCAAGGACCAAATTGGAAGAAGCAACAAGCATAAATCTGCTTCCTGATGCCGTGAAAAACACCCGAGAGAAGGCAACCCACAGGAGGGAAAAGAGTTTAGCACACAGCTTCTGAGGATCGTGGCTGTTCTCTGGCTTGTGGCGAGGTGATTCATATGGCAGATGTGTGTGGTGGCAGAAAGTGGGGTTGAATCGCATGTTTTTGATATATCTTTCAGGGGCACACTCCCAATGACCAGCTTCCTTCAGTGATGCCTCAGCTCCTAAAGTCTTCACCTCTCAGTGCTCAGGAGAGGAGCAAGTCTACAGTTTAAGTGCATTTAGGGTCATTTAAGGGCAAACCAGAAACCTCACCAAATCCTATCTTCAAAGCCAGCATGGCATACCTCAAACTCTAGCCTATAACTGTACTTTTCCACTTCCCTACCTTGTATTCAAATACAGCCTCTGACCTGAATACAGACTATGCATTACACTGAAGATGCACCCCACAAATGTTTAATGAGCACCTCCCACCATGCATAAGCTGCCTCTAGTCCCTGAGGATGTGACAGTGGACAAAACCCATCAGAATCCTTTGCTCCCACAGGACTCAACAGCTGTAATTTTAAAATTCTTTATATTAACAACTTGGAAAACCAACAACTGGTTAAAATGGTCAGTAATCCTGTCTAAAGGGTTTGCTCTAGGTCTCAGAGAGGTAAAGTGACTTGCTCAAAGTCTCACAGTAGGAGACACAGCATTGCTTCTTGTCCTTCATTCTCTTTCTGCCTTTCACTAAAGACTTACTAAACATAAACTTTTATATGCTTTTTATTTTATATCTTTTTATACCTTTTACAAAATTTGAATAATGTTTCACAGAGAGATCCATCATGTTTTTTCTCCCCCAAAACTCCCCAAGAAGCAGAGCCAGAGGCAAGGATTCAAAAGCAGCTGTGTGCAGGAAACCTGCCTCTGTTTCATTTATTTCTCTCCCCATGCTGTGGAGCATTTCACTACTTTTACATTACTACTGATTTAACCTTCACAGTGTGTGCTCATTACCCCATGCATCCCCATTTGTCGCTCGCCAATACTGGGGAGTTCTGTTGCGTGTGTTGATGTCACCAGCTTACTATGAGGGGAAGTATACTCAACATGGAAAATTTCATTTCCCGAAAGTCATGACTGCAGGATAGAGTCCTAAGGACTGCAGAAATGACAGCATTGGCAGTGGGGAGACAGAATCTGGCTAGTTCATCACTGTCCTTATTATACCCATGATTCATAGCTAATGTATGTTTACGTGAAGTTGGCCAAATCAGTGCCCCGTGATGGTCATAAAATGGAAAAGACCTCATTAATTTTGTGGTTTATTTTCTCTGCCAACTATTGTAGCCATTTCCCTTCTGAAATTCTCTAGTTTAAATTTCATCATATACCATCAGTTTCAGTATGTCTTTTGGAACTAGTCCACAACACAGTATTTAGAATTGTTGATTTTTTTTGAAGAGATAAAATTACACTTGTTTGGTGATCTGAATGACATGATCTATATTCTGTGGTGGTAGTGTTCTCAGATTTTTTTTAAGAGGAGAAACTCTATGAATGCCAAACTCTATGGTCTTGATATCTTGGTGGATGATTTTGAATGGCTACCAGCACCTTTAATCAATACTTTTAGAACTTCTCTGAGAACCAAGGTACATAGTGTTGGCTGCAAAGACTGCCACCTATCCTTGACTACTATAAATGTGGCACATTACTCCCCTTTGGAACTCAAGTCAGTGCTTCTCTGGCTTCTTGCTGTGGAAGCTAAGATGAGACCAAGGCTAGGAGTGGTCATTAAGTGTCAGCTACCATAGAAACACACAAGACACAGAAGTGAGATTCTGCTGGGTTGTTGTAGGGAATGTTAGCTTATCTCTATATGCACTTAAACAGTCATCACCCTCTGATGAGTTCCTCATTGTCACAGCTCCCTACTGTTAGTATTCAGGCATCTGTACTGGCCTGCCCTTGGGGTTCTGACAGGATATGTCCTCAGTTGCAGCCACTACGAACACCACCTGTGCACATTCACTATGTTCCCTTTTGAAAGGGCCCTGCCCACCTTCTCTCTCTCTGTTTCTCTCTCTGTCTCTGTCTCTCTCTGTGTGTCTCTGTCTCTCTGTTCCTCTCTCTGTCTGCTTCTCTCTCTCTCTCTCTCTCTGACCCTCTTTCCTCTCTCCTGTCTCTGAAGGCTAGTCTCCACTCTCCCCTTTCCCCCTTTTATGATCCTTTTCCCTAATTAAAAATACCCTCTGCTTGAACGCTGTTGCATGGCGTCTTTCTCTCAAGCCACTTTTCTTAAATTACAACACCTACTACGGCACATTAAACTCAACAAGAACCCTCAATAGATAAGAAGTTTTACCAGAGACATCATGGGGAAATGGAGGAGAAGATTCCCACAGCCATACTCAATGATCTTTCCCATCAGAAATACTTGTTCTTCCATGAGAGCTCATGTTTACCACCAGCGTCCTTAGATTTGACTCTACATTGACCATGAGCACTTCCCAGGCTCCAGAGCACCAGGTGTCTTGACTGCTTGTACTTCCCTTGGGAATTCCTGCATGATCCCCATTCAGGGT